TTCCACTCAGTGTTGATGAGACATGGCTCTTATTGTGGTTAGCAAACTGTTTGTGTGTGCACATGGCCCCTCGTGGCATGGGTATGATCAGTCTTCTCTCCTCTGTCCCACAGGATTCCCAGTGTTGCTCTCCATTTATGCCCTTCACCACAACCCGAATGTGTGGCCAAACCCAGAGGTATGATGGCCTTGGGAGGAGGGGCTGGGATGAGCTCTCCAGACCAACCCATTCTCCTGTCCTACCTCTGGGTAGTCTGTCTGGTGGTTGGTTAAATAGGACGGAGGGGCTTGATTATACCTGTCCTGGCCCTGGTGCTCCCTCTGCAGGTGTTTGACCCTTCACGGTTTGCACCGGGTTCTGCCCGACATAGCCATGCTTTCTTGCCCTTCTCAGGAGGAGCAAGGTGAGTTATTTGTAACAGGATGGGAGTGGGTGACTGCTTGCTGGGTACATATCCAATACTTGTGACTTCCTATTGTATACGGGTGTCTGTAGATATGCCTTTGCTTGTCTCTGTGCTGGGAAAGAGGTATGTGCCTTTCTGTACAAAAGAAAGCTGGGAAGCATGGCCCGACCTGGAGACATTGACCCATTTCTCTTTCCCAATCTCCAGCCACACTTCAGTGTTGGTGGCTGCTCCAAAATTCAGTGCATTCTAGTATTTGATTCACTGTATGAGTATGACTTTGCACAAGAGATTTTCTCATATGTTAATTTTCAAGTATTGTCGATTTCAAAATCTGGATGGAATCTGATAGATTCTTTCATACACATTCTCAAACCAGCCATTCTTTCCCCGAACTGCACCACTGAATTCTTTGCATGTGTTTCCATTCTCAGCTGCCTTGCATATCTCAAACATTTATGTCATACATGAGGATGGTTACTGTGGCCTCTTAAGGGATTAATGAAGTATTCAACTAATTTGTGTCACTATTATGTTTGCATCTATCCAAAAGAATTTTTGAGTCCATGGTAATGGTCACATGTACTTGACATTTTTCCCAGTTGTCAAATCAGTCCATATGATCTGGGCTCTATACAAATTAATATTATACTTAGAGTCCAATTGCATAAGTGGGCAAATAGATGCAAGAAAGACATTAAACTGTTTTTGAGAGAAAAGCCACTGTTTTATACATGACACATGGTATTTGAAAGTTTCCTGGAGTATAAAACATAAAGCAGACTTGAAGTGACTGTGGAGCTGGATGACTATTCTCCAGAGTGGCTGCTGTGAAATCCTCCAGTGCTGCTGAAATGGTCCTTTAATTAGTAAATTCCTTAAATCTTTTAAGTAGTTACTAGAAACGAGTTCTTTTCTTCAAACACTAAATCCACTTTCACAGAATAGGCTTTAAGCAAACTATTCTTCCAGATACTGGCTGTAGGATTTGAGCCTTAGACACTGGTGCGTGTCGTGTGGCTGCCAGTGAGGACAGGAGAGGGCCAGAGAGATCCATTTCTAGCTCAGACATAATGGCTACCATATTTCATTCCATTCAGGGTTTTTTTTTTTAGTTCAATAAACTTCATGCAATTCTAAGACTACTCTTTAAGCCTGTCTCTGTGTGCTACATCTTATGTTAGGAGGTGGAACGCAGAAGAAAAATACTGCCCTTGCCGCCAAGAGTTCACAGCCATAAATGCTCCCACTCAAAGAGACATCATCATTCATTCATTCATTCACTCCATCATTTACTAATTGAACACACTGTAGGACATTCCACGTTCCTGGCACTGTCCTGTTCTGGAAAGTGATGTGTCCCTGAGTAAAAAATACTAGTGTGACTTCAGGATCCGGGCATGAAGAGGTACAGCCAGCAGAGAGGGTGAGCGTGGGCTGTCATTAGCCTTGAGCACGAGGCAAGCAGAGGTGGAGGGAGCGTATTCTCAGGGATCACATCAGCAGGAGCTCAGTGGGGAGGCAGAGCTGGACAGGTGATAGGTGAGTGAGGGAACAAGCCAAAGAGGGCTTTAATGCCAGCTGAGGCATGTGGACATGCCCCTAGCTGTGATGGAGGGCCTGGGAGAGTCTGAGCTGGGCGGGGCTTCAGGGGAGGAAGGGGAGGCAGGAGACAGAGAAGCCTGGGTGAGGAGATTGAGGGATGGCCAACAGGGACATTTCTGCAGTAGACTTGGAATCTACAGAAACTGGTTGACAGAGGGGTTGAGGGGAGCACAGGAGTCTGGACCCAAACTGGGAAGGAGATGGTGTAGCAGATTGAGCATCGTTACAGCCTTGCCCATTTGGATGTCTCTCTGATTCCATTCTGTTTTCCTTACACAATTCCACCTTGTCCTTTCTCTGAGGATCTGGGTCCTTTTGTCCCCCCATATGGTTAGGGCCTAAAGTGGCCCAGCTGGCCCCTATAGTACCCTGTACTGGCTTCTCATTTTTGAAATCAGTAATGGCTTATAGAGACAGCAAACACCCTGATGATTAACTGTTGTAGTGATCACTTGACTTGGCTGTGTGCCTCTCGAGCTGACCCTCTTATAAGAGGACTTCAGGCCTGCCAACAGAAGAGGTAGAAGGAACTAGCCCTGGAAGATTGTAGGCTTTGTCAAAGGTCAGGGGCAGAGTGTGAAGCAAGGCTTGGGTCGAGATGTGTGTGGGTGTCCTGGAAGGAAAGGGATCGGGGCCGGACCCATGCAGGAAGGCCCTGCATGTGCTGTTCCCAGCAAGGGGATTGAGGCCACTTCTCATTTCCTTTTCCCTCCCTGACCCAGGAACTGCATCGGGAAGCAGTTTGCCATGAGCGAGATGAAGGTGGCGGTGGCCCTGACCCTGCTCCGCTTTGAGCTGGCGCCAGATCCTTCCAGGGTCCCTGTTCCCTGGCCAAGAATTGTGTTGAGGTCCAAGAATGGGATCCACCTGCATCTCAGGAAGCTCCTCTAAAATCTGTGCAGACAAGCATGAGCCCGAGAACCTCCTGCCTGCCATCCTGTCTTCCTGTCTGT